CCTGCCATGGGCATGCCACGCCCCCTTCCCACCTTTTGGTTTGAGTGCTGTCTTCAGTTCTGCGTGAGTGGAATGGGGTTTATTTTTTGTTACTGTTCTTTCTTTCCTCTTTCCTCCCTTGTTGGTAATGATTTACAAACGCAGGTTTATTTGAGCTGGTTTTTGAGCAGCTGTCTTTGGCCTCCTGGTTTCAGCTGGTGTCAGCGGTGGGATATTTGCATGCACGGGGCATCATTCACCGGGACATCAAGGACGAGAACATTGTGATTGCGGAGGACTTCACAATCAAGCTGATTGACTTTGGCTCTGCGGCCTACTTGGAAAGGGGGAAATTATTTTATACCTTTTGTGGAACAATTGAGTACTGTGCACCAGAAGTTCTCATGGGAAACCCGTATGTATAGCACTGGAGAACTGTGATGGGTTCGTGGGAAATGGGGTCATCCTGTGCCTTTTGTAGTGAGGGTTAGTGGAAGGGGAAGCTTTGAAAAGTAAGCAGGCAGGCAGGCTGAGTGAGGTCCAGGATTGGTCAGGAGAGCTGGGCAGTAGATGCAAGAGTTCATCATTTTCCCATCTCTTCGTTATATTTGTGGAGTTTCATCTACTATAATGGGACACCAGAAAATGAAAGCCTTTGAGTTGCTTTTTTAAAAGTTGGCGCTTTCCCAATAGAGACAGAAGCTGCTGCTTTGCTCAGTCACTTTAATGGCAGGGTGACAAGAGTCACCCTTAGGGCCCCTGAGATGACAGTGACCACAAGGGCTCTTGTTCACGGTGGATCCTTGCCTGGAGGTGGCTTTGCTGCTGACCAGAGACCCCCAGACTCAACCACACATGACTCTACCTCTTGGGGTGCAGGTGCCTGATTATCACCTTTGTCTTTGTAGGAACCACCTGGCCCCAGGGTCGCATGCTGTGCCATGCAGCCTGTCTCCACACACATGTAAAGAGGTGTGTCCCCACGGTCTGTGATCGGCTGTGCTGACAGTCCCACCTCTAGGAGGATGGGGGCTGTTGCTACTCTTATGACAGGCCGATGGGGACAAGTCAGCCCTGGGTGGAGCTGGGATTTGAACTGTGTGGCCTGATGTTTGGTGTTTGTGCTCACCACCACTGCCTTCCCAATACACCAGGGGCCTGGACCACGTGCTGAGGGCCCCACGCTGAGGCCACTGCCCCGAGGCCTATGCTGAGGCCCCTGCCCTGCCCTGAGGCCTGTGCCCCGCAGGGCCCATGCCAGGAACGACACTGAGTCCTCTGAGTGCAGCAGTGCTAAAGCCCTATGGGGCGTGTAGTGGGGCCACAGGAGAGGGTGCACTGTGGGGTTGTGGGGTTGTGTTGCTGTCTGCTGCCCACTGGTGACTCACTGGGCAGAGGCCTCTGCCATGTGGACTGTTCACTTTGCTACAATACCACACAGCACCTTATCTTTCACCATACAGGTACCAGGGCCCAGAGCTGGAGATGTGGTCGCTGGGCGTCACCCTGTACACCCTGATATTTGAGGAGAACCCCTTCTGTGAGCTGGAGGAGACTATGGAGGCGGTGCTGAACCCTCCGTATGTGGTGTCAGAAGGTGAGTCACCCTGTAGGGCCACAGCCCTGTCCAGGACACGTGTCCATCACCTCTGCTCATTAGCATGCCCTGTCCCATCAGTACTGCACTTCCTTTTCGTCCTCACCAGCTATCTTATGTCCTCATTGTCTCTAAACACCTCCCATCCTCATCTGCTCAGGGCAGTCTCCCTGAGAAGGCTGTGGGACACTGTTCAGGTTCTGATCTTGAAGCCCCATGAGGCTCCCAGTGTGCGCTGGGCATGAGGCTGGGAGTGGGGACCAGGTCAGGCCGACGGCCACACTGCTGGAGGAGCCAGTCCTGCTTCTAGGCTCGAGGCCAGGGCCTTTGCTGAGCTGGTGCTGGCCCTCCACTGTGCCCACCAGGGAGCTCCCCTGGGCCAGGCCCTCCTCCACCCCCCGTCAGATCAAGTGCTGTGCTCTTTGTGTTGAGAACTACCACAGCCAGAGCCCAGTTAGACATGGTGGCCACCTCTGCATTGTCCAGCGCGGTTTAAGGAAACAAAATGACAAACTCACTGCCATCCAGTCAGAACTGACTTTAGGAACCCTCCAGGGGGATTCTTGGGGGCTGGAGATTCCATGCGAGGAAAGTGTATATCCATCTCCCTTGGAGTGTGTGGATGTACCTCCAGACTTATCCACCTTTGGGCTGGCACCTCTTGCCAAGAACTGGGCCACTAGAGCTGCCTCCAGCTCAGCTAAGTGGCTGTCACTTCAGGGGCCTTTCCCAAAGCACAGTGAGGGGCCCTGGACACAGTGTTAGCAGGTGGGTCCCTGAGCTAGTCATGGAGCCTGCCGTTATTACAGGGGATCTAGGTGGTCCGTTTGTGTCCCCAGGGCCCAGACCAGACCCACTGGGGGTTTACTTTTCCCAGAGTGCTGGCCTGTGTCCCCAGGGCCCAGATATACAGGGGGGTCTACCTTCCCTATGTGCAGGGTGGTGACTTCTGTGTCCCCAAGGTGCACAGCGGTGGTATTTGTGTCCTTAGCACCCAGACCTGGTGGGAATCCACTTTCTCCATGCTCATAATGGTGGCTTCTGTGTCCCCAGAGCTTATGAGCCTTGTGTCCGGCCTGCTGCAGCCAGCTCCTGACCAGCGCACCACCCTGGAGAAGCTGGTAGAGGACCCATGGCTGACACAGCCGGTGAACCTGGCTGACTACACCTGGGAAGAGGTGTGCCGGGTGAGCAGGCCAGGTGAGCTGTGTGGGGAATGAGGGATACTGGGGAGGTGCAGCCCTATCCTGCACTGCCCAGCACACAGAAGTCTCTGTACTCATGTGGGCTCTCAAGCCAAGTGTACTGCTTTCAAGTGCGACACGTGCCACCTGAACCCTCAGCAAGGTGGCACAGCAGGTGGAGGCACAGGCTTGAGAACTGCAGCTGTGATGGCCTGACTGTGCTGTGGAGAGAGAGGAAGCCGTTGGCTGTGCCTGGTCACTCTGTCGTGGTCACTGCCTGGTCAGTGCATGAACTTGGATGCTCCAGGCTGACCCCCTGCAGTACCTAATAGATCTCGGGGTTTGAGGAACCTGAGATTCTGTCCTGGAGTTCTTCCAGTGAGAGGCTAGCCTGGAGCTCCCTGTCTTCTCTTGTGCAGACACTGATGTCCCAGGCAGTGTGAGTGTCGAGGTGGCAGGGGGAGCCTGGGCCAAGTGGGGCAATGTGGGGCCCCTGTGCTGAGTGCAGAGACATCCTAGGACCTGCCTGTGAGGTGTGGGCTCTGCTGTTGACAACATGATCTCCGGATGTTCGGGAGTCCTGATGCTGTACTCCCACAGAAGATCCTCTGCCCCACGCCGCGCTGCAGACCCAGGCGCAGCACAGATGCTTTGTGCAATTCCTCTGAATGGTCACATGCCTGTCAGCGGTCGGGCTGCGGGCTTTGTGGGATGGGCTAATCCAGGGACCACATTGGTTCATTAATTCATGTTCTTGTACGTTGAGCGAATGAAAGCAATTTTGTTAGTAAACAGTTCCCACAGCTCCGTTTACCTGGTCGTGTCTTCATTTACCTCAGTGCGGGGACAGCTGGAGAGAAGTTGGGTCTGCATCAGTTTGGAGTTCCTGGTGGGGGTTCCTCCCTTTCTGGTGCGGTCTTGGGTTTTGCAGGAATGCTCAGTCTAAGAGGACCTGGGGCTTTTCTGCCCCTTCTTGCTCCTGTGAACGGCTCTTTAGGTCTTCAGGTGGCCACACCACCGCAGGACACGCCCACACTGCCCCCTGGGACACGCCCATCCAGCCCTGCCCTGCCCTGGGCCACGCCCCGGGCCACGCCCGCCCACGCCCTGGGACACGCCCCCCAGTTCTCTCCTGGGCCAGCCACTTCACTGGGCTACAGCCTCAGGCTGCATGCCCACCCCCTCCCTCCTGGGGGCCCCTGCAGGGACCTCACCAGGGCTCAGTGCTGGCATCTTAGTGCCCTCCAGAGATGGCCAGTAGCATCAAACTGTGTGTGACTACTGGGGTGCGTTCTGTCCTAACTGCCCTTGCCCATCTTCCTCAGGCCCCAGCGGCCATTCTTGCAACTCAGTGGCCCTATCTGGGCCCCAGCTCCCTCACAGATAGGTGTGGGACAGCCTGCCCTGGAGGATAGGGGGCAGCTGGGAGTGGAAAACAGGAAGAACACAAAAGCAAAAGGCCACGTCATGCACACACTAACCCAACCCCCGCCTGCCTCTGCTGCAGACTCTGGGGTCCTGACTGCTGGTATCCCTCTGTATACCTTGGCTGGACACTGCAGTTCCAGGCCCCTCCCAGGAGGCACTTGAGCTCTTCAGGCTTGCAGAGCATGGTCATTTCTAGTTCCTGCCCACATGATAAGGAGTGCTGCCACCCCATTCACTGTGAGTGCACTGCCCAACACCCCACTGTCTCTGATGGTGTTATGGCAGAAATGTGAGATTTTAAACAGCCAAAATTTAGGGGCCAACAGAACTTTATTATGCATGGTCAAGAATGTAAGTAAGGTCAGCTAATGCCTAACCTGTTCTGACCCTGAGGGGAAGCAAAGATGGAATTTCTAAGCAGATTGGGCATGGATGCTGCACAGAGGTTGTTGAGGTTGGCAGTTTGAATTTCTTCACATTCGAGAGTCATTGTCTCTGACTTCTCATGGGTGTGTTCGATGGATCTTGGCTGCATGCAAAGAGTCCCAGAGGAATGTCTATCTGTCTTTCATTGACTATGCAGAGATGTTTGACTGTGTGGATCACAACAAACTGGCTAAATCTGAGAAGAATGGGAATCTCAAGAACACTTGATTGTGTTTATGCAAAACTTGGGCCGGGAGGGAGTGGTCAGAACAGAGCAAGGAAACACTGCATGGTTCAAAATCGGAAAGGATGTATGTCAGGGATTGTATACTGTCTCCATACCTCTTCAATCTATATGCACAACAAATCATCTGGGAGGCTGGGCTGTATGAGGAGGAATGTGGCCTCAGGATTGGAGGAAGACTCATTAACAACCTGAGTGTTATGCAGATGACACAACCCTGCTTGCTGGAACTGAGGAGGACCTAAAGTGCTTGCTGCAGAAGGTCAGAGTCTGCAGCTTTCAGTATGCATTCTGACTCATAGCGACCCTGTGTACAGCAGCCGTGAAATCTGCTCTGTCCTGTGCCAAATTTATTGTCGCTGACACACCTACCCTCATTATTCCAGTCACGAAGTCAATCCATCTCATTGATGGTCTTCCTCTCTTTCTCTGTCCCTCCACCCTTCCAAGCATGGTGTCCCTCTTCAAGGACTGGTCGCTCCTTACACCATGCCCAAAGTATGTCAGACAAAGCCTCAGAATCCTTGTCTCCAAGGAGCAGCCTGATTTCACCCTCTCTAGGTCAAACTTGTTTATTTTCCTGGCAGTCCATGGTATATATAATACTATTCTCCAGCACCACAGCTCAAAGTCATCAATTCTCTTTCCATCATCCCTAGTCATTATCCAGCTCTCTCACACATAGCAAGCAATTGCAAAGACTATGTCCTAGATCAGGCACACCTTAGTCTTCAGACTGACATCACTGCTCTTCAGTACTATGGAGAGTTCCCTGACAGATTTTCCCAATGCAATTCATCTCTTGCTTTTTTGGCTGATGGTACCAAGAGTGTTGTTTGTGGAGCCAAGCGAACTAAAGCTGTTAACAATCTCAATCTCTTCACCATCTATTATAATGCTGCCAGTACGCACAGTGATGATGAGAATCTTTGTTTTCTTGAAGTTGAGCTTTAATTTATATTGAAAGCTGCAGTCCTTGACCTTCTGCAGCAAGCACTTCAGGTCCTCCTCAGTTTCAGCAAGCAGGGTTGTGTACAGATTTCCAAAAAGGGAAAGGGGAAGAGTAGAAATCACTAGGATAGCAAAGTTTAATGGACAGATCAGGAGTTGAAGGAACAGGAAAGATTCAATGGGGACTTGAAAAGATGGCATAGATTAATAGTAATTAATTTTATAAAATACAATGTATATGAAAGTACAAAACAATGTAAATGAAAGATTGTATAAAAAAACTATACATGCATAAAACAATGTAAACAAATTACTGTATGAAAACCAATAAAAAGAGAAAATTATTATAAATGACACCAGCTGGGGGCAGCAGACAAGAGCAGACGGCTCTGAGGGTGTTGATGGAAAAGCCAGGAGCTAATAGGGCCAGGCCGCCCAGACTGCGCCAGTCCATGCCTCCAACATGGTCCAGAGATCAGCTTCATAGATGATTGCAGAGGCTGTCCAAGTGTCAGACAATGTGGCCCAGCCTGAACTTTCCCTGGAACAGGATGGTGTGTTTCAATTTGGTTCCCTGCACACAGGGTTTTTCTGTCAGTATGAAATAATTGATCATAGTTTATTTTTAGGTCTTGACTGTTGAGTATTAGGATAGAAAACAAAATAGCAGTGTTTTAATGCTTTATAGATGCAAACAGTCCTTTTATGAAATAATTTTTTATCCTCTGAAGATTCAGTCACATCAGTGTTTGAGCACCAGCTTAGTGCCTGGTAGAGCAGGTGCTCTGTAAACGTGTTTATACTCTTTTAGAAGCAAGCCCTTTTCTTAGCTCCAACAGGTAAGTGAGTAAAACAGGGGGAAAGGCCCACCAAACAATATTTGGTGTTTAAAAGTGGTGAGATTAGACTGTTGTTATATGCCATCGAGTCACTTGCAACTCACAGCGACCCTATGTACAACAGCCCTGAAACCTGCTCTATCCTGGGCCAACCTTATTTGTCTCTGACACACCTACTCCCATTACCTCAGTCACTGAATCAGTTCATCCCATTGAGGTTTTTCCTCCCTTGCGCTGTCCCTCCACCCTCCTAACCATGATGTCCCTCTCCAAGGACTGGTGCCTCCTTGCAACGTGCCCAAAGTATGTGAGACAAAGCCTCAGAATCCTTGCCTCCAAGGAGCAGCCTGGCTTCATTCTCTTAAGGATGAATCTGTTTGTTATTTGGCAGTCCATGCTATAGTTGATATTCTTCTCCAGCACCACAGCTCAAAAGCATCTATTATTTTTCTATCATCCCTAGTCATTGTCCAGCTTTCTGACACATAGAAGTGATTGCAAAGACTATGACCTGAATCAAGTGTACCGTAGTCTCCAGACTGACATTGTTGCTTTTCAGTGAGATTAAACAGTTGAAAAGAAAACCTTTCTTAAATTCTTTTTCATCCTCCTGTCCCAACTCTATATGCTTAAAACCTCATATCTAGATCTGAAATTTAAGAATTAAAACCAATTAGTCTGAAACAGAATTGACTATCCTAAAAGGAAACCTAAATTAGACTGCTTAGTCAGAAGATAGTTGTCCCTTTCTGCCAGGAAGTGTGGCGTTTTATCACTTAAGTCATGTCTTCCAGTGAAAGGTATGGCAGCATCAGGATGGATGGTAAAGAGATTGCGATTGTTCACAGCTTTAGTCTGCTTGGCTCCACAATCAATACTTTCGGCACCATCAGCCAGGAAAGTAAAAGACGTATTGCGATGGGAAAGTGTGCTGTTAGGGACCTCTTTAAAGTACTCAAGAGCAACGATGTATCTCTGGAGAGTAAGGTGTGTCTGGTACAGGCCATGCATGGTCTTTGCAATCACTTGTTATGCGTCAGAGAGCTGGACAACGACCAGGGAGGATAGAAGGAGAGTTGATGCTTTTGAACTTTGGTGTTGGAGAAGAGTGCTGAGAGTGCCATGGACTGCTAAGAAAACAGATTCATCATGAAGAGGGTTAAACCGGGCTGCTCCTTGGAGGCAAGGATTCTGAGGCTTCGTCTGACATAGTTTGGTCATGTTGTAAGGAGGGACTGGTCCTTGGAGAGGGACATCATGCTTGGGAGGGTGGAGGGCAGGCGCAGGAGGGAAAGGCCCTCTGGGAGGTGGATTGATTCGGCGACTGGGACAATCGGGATGAGTGTGTCAGAGACAATGAGATTGGCACAGGACAGAGCAGAGTTTAGAGCTGTTGTACATAGGGTGGCTATGAGTCGCAAGTGACTCGATGGCACATAACAACAACAAGATGCCTCATTAAACGCGAGGAGGGGGAGCCTTCATCTCAGGCTTTGAGCCCACTGTCAGGAGATGTCATTTCCTCAAGAATGGCATCATGTCTGTTAGAGGAGCGAGTCAGTGGGAAAGAGGATAACCCTCACATAGATGTCCTGAGCCCACAACTTCAGCTCTGGGCTGGAGCACAGCTGTACTTGTGAAGGGTTCATGTCTGGGCAGGGCTGGCTTCTGCTCTGTGAGCCAGAGCAGACTCAATGGCATCGAACAACAGCAGAGAACAGAGTTGTCTGCTTTGTGTATGTAGCCTTAGTTTCATACAGAATACAGATTTTTTCACACACTAAGAATTTGAATATCCCATGGACTACCAAAGGAACAGATCTGTCTTAGAGGAACCACAGTTAAGGTACTCATTAGAGGCAAGGATGATGAAACTTCCTCTCACATGCTTTTGGGCATGTTGTCAGGAGAAACCAATCATTGGGAAAAGACATCATACTGGGAAAGGTGGAGAGTCAGGGAAAGGAATGAATGGCCTTCACCAAGATGGATTGACCAAGTGACTGCAGAAATGGCTTGAGTATATCAGAGATCCCGAGGATGGCACCGGATAGGGCAATCACAGGCTTGCTATGAGTGAAAGGCAGCTTGATAATACCTAGCAATGAGGCAAAAACATCTTTAATGTCTAAGTCTGAATCCATCTTTGTTCAATTTTTACCCCAATAATAAAACACTTTTGCAAAGAGTCTTTCTTCATTGAAGCCACAGGAAATGGCCTGTCTTTAGCCAACATTAAAGTACTAAAAACTGAGGAAGAGTGATTTCTATTTCATAGCAAAAAAGACCATGTCACTATTCTGAAGTACAGTGCTGTAAGCAGTAGAATACTAACCGTACACATGCAAAGAGAACTATTAATACAACTATTCAATATACACACCAATAACTAAAGTCAAAGAAGAGGAAATTGAGGCTTTCTACTAACTTCTGCAGTGTGAAATGGTGACTAGGAGGCAAAAGTTGGAAACAAGGAAGAAATGGTAGTCAGAAAGTACGGACTTGGTGACAGAAAAAAGGTTGGGGATTGGATGATTGAATTCTGTATAATCAGTGATGTATTAATTATAAATAACTTTTTAGAAAAACCCATGATGACTATACGTGTGAACCTCACTTGATGGACTACAGAGGAGTCAGATTGACTACATCTGTGAAAAGAATAAAAGCCAGGCCAGGTGCTGTGGAACAGACCATCAATTATTCACATATAAGTTCAAATTGAAGCTGAAGAAAATGGAAACAAGTTCACAAGAACCAAAAGGCGACTCTGAGTCTATTATTCCACCTGAATTTAAAAACCGTCTCAAGAATAAGTTTAACACATTGCCGTAAATGATGGTAATACATCGAGAAAAAAAACCCACAAATGTGTTTCTAAGCACAGTCGTCAATTTAAAAGTGTGTGGCAATGTGGACACTGAACCCTAATGATAAAAAGACCAGATGAGTTGTGGGATGATACTCAGGATATCACCTATGAAGAAAACAAAGATTCATTACAAAGACAGGAGAGAAAGCAAATCCCAAAATAGGTCAGAAGAGACTCTAAAAATTGCACCAGAATGTCAAGAAGCCAAAACAAAGAAAAGAAATGGTGAAGTAAAAGAGATGAACAGAAGATTTCAAAAGGGCAGTGTGAGAAGATAAGGCAAAGTATAATAAAATGTGCAAGAGCTGGAGTTAGGACATAAAAAGGGAAGAACTCAGCATTTCTCAAGCTGAGAGACCTGATAAAATTTAGCAGTTGCAATATCTCAAGTTTCAATACTGAAGGATCCTATTGGCAAAATCTTGAATGATTGAGGAAATGTCAAAAGAAGATGGAAGGAATACAGAGTCACTGTATCAGAAAGAATTGGCTGACATGGAACCACTTGAGGAAGTATCATAAGGTCAAGAATCAGTGGTAATGAAGAAGTTCAAGCTACAATGAAGGCATTGGCCAAAAACAATGCCCCAAGAATATATGGAATTGGTATATTTCAACAAACCGATGTAGCCCTGGACTTGCTCAAAAAGCTATGCCAAGAAACTTGGAAGACCTAGCAAACTGCCTGGAAGAGATCCGTATTTGTTCACCTTCCTAAAAATGTTGATCCACCAGAATGTGGAAATTACCACACAGTATCATTAATGTTACATGAAAGTAAAATCTTGTTGAAGAGAATGAAAAACTGGCTAGAACAGTACACCGACAGAGGACAGCCAGAGATTTGAGCTGCATCAGAAGAGCCTATAGAACGAAGGGGATCAATGCCAAGATGGACCTCCAGACGGCCAGGGACCCTCAGCCTTCCAGCCCCGGCGCAGGTTCTTCGGCAGCGGAACGCACGTGCTGTGCCCTCGTGCTTGTCCGGACGCTGTGACTGACGGGCCGGGAGAGAGGCGATGCGCAGCCGGAAGAGTGGAAGTGACGGACAGGGAGCCAGGCGGCTTCCGGCAGCCCAGGGCCGTCATGGCCGCTGTCAGCCGGCAGGTGAGGGTCCCGGGTGTGGGCGGTTCGCAGCTGCCCGGCCTGCGGCCCGC